AGATAGATTACTCATGGTTTCTCTTTTGCCTCATTGCCTTCGATATCCCTGCGAGAGTAAAATTCTTAAAACGAAACTGTTGAAACTTAGGAAACTAAAGAATGTAACTCGTCTGAACATTTGCCGTGGAAATAGCGAAAGAGAGGAGGAGAAATGCAGAAATAAAAGAGATACGGAGAGAAAAGAGAAACGAACAAATTTTGAACAAGTAATGCAAAAAGCAAGAAACATTACACACTTCGGTGTGGGGTAATGGTTAACAAGCTTGTTTAGTTGAGTATTAATCATAAGTAGTGAGTTATATCCTCACTGAGCACCTGATAGTAGTCGCCTTGTGTCGCACTAAGCTATATTGTATAATAACAAAAGAAGCTGCTTGATAGGCCAGATGATGGCATATTTCCTACCGACACCCGAGGTTGATATTCAAACCCAAGTAGAAGACAATATTTCGAAAAGGGATTGATCTTGAACAAATTCCCCCAGGGATGAAGAGATCTGGTTCTACAGTAGGATGCTGAGAATACTTTGGACGCAATATGTGTGCAATGATGAAGTTTTAAGCAAAATGCAGACGAAAAAGACATTCAGAAAGAAATGGTTGGAATTTCTGGAAATAAGGAAATTACAGAATTTTGAGGATTTCACTCTCGCAAGGACATTGAAGGCAATAAAGTAAAAGGGTAACCGTGATTAATTTATCTAACGAACTTATGTAAATGGATGGCACTTTATGGACTGGGAGGGATAGGTAGGGGGGGGAACCCTGCTTAGAACTACAATAAATAGGAGGTTGTGGAAAGTCATGATCGTCCACGTCCTGAAGACATAAACGAAGACGGCATTTGGGAAAGGTATAAATCCATTTTCTCTCCCTCCTACAGCTATGGGTTAGAAAGCTGGGAAAACTGGGATTTCTAGCCTTGGTTGGTAACCAGTCTAGAAGAAGGATAACTGAATTCAAAATTGATTGGGTGTGGTACTAGTAACAGTATTCCGATAAAAATTTATTTGCTACAGAAACCATAGCAACAGCATCTATATTCCACAGAGGACTTTAATGGCACTAAAGAGTAAGAAAAAGTATCTTTTAGGCAGGAAAATATTCTCATTTACGAGATTAGAGCTACACAGTCTTCCTGTTCCTTTTCCACTTAGTCTTGGTTAATAAAATTCAGTAACAGAGAAAGTTAGATGGCTGAGAATGTTATTCCCCTGACAGATATCGGTATTAAGGCTCAGGTAAAAAGTTATGATTTTGAATTTTGATTTTCCAAGCGGGTAGCTCTTTCCAAGCAGGTACATATTCCAAATTGTAATTTTTGGTGCAACAAGATCTCCCTACTCGAGCTCGACTGAACTACCTTAGTAAATGCGAAAAGTTAGAAAAACCAACAAAAAAAAAAAAAAAAAATAAAACCATCAAAACTGTAATTAGAAAAATGAGAAATGTCAAAAAAATAAAGAAAAATGTGGGGAAATAAAGAAAAAAACGAAAGAAGTAGAGATAAAAAAAGACAAAGGAAAAATAAGGGGTAAAGGTGGGTAGAGAAAGAAGAAAGAGTAAAGGAAAAACAAAGGGAAATAAAGGCGTAGAAATGAAGCAAGAAGAGAAAAACGAAAAAAAAAGACAAAAAGAAGAAACAAATACGGGAAATGGAAAAAAAAGAAAGACGTAGAGGGAAAAAGACAAGGAAAAAGAAGAAATGAAAGAAGATTAAATAAAAGAAATGGAAAACAAGAGAAAAGAAGGACGTAGAGAAAGAATGAAAAATAAAAAAAAGGAAAAATAACAAGGAAAAATCAGGACATAGAAGAATAAAAAAAAAGAAAGAAGAAAAACATAGAAAGAAAGAAGAAAAGAAAATATACAATAAAAAAAAAAATAATCGAAATTATGAAAAAAAAAAGAATGTTAACAAATAAAAAGCAAAACGCCAAAGTAAATTCTAGGTAGGGAATCGAATAAAAACTTAAACCAACACATAAGAAGTAGCAGGGATTAGAGAGTTGTAATCAAGGCAGGGTGAGAATGAAGGAGGAGAAGGAGGAGTTTGAGAAAGAGAAAGACGTGTAGCAATAAGGATAAGATAAGGCGGGAAAGATAGAGACATGCAGGGAGTTTGGGAGCTGAGGGCGAATCAGGAAGGGCGAAAACAATAATAAAACGCGGGAAGGTTATTGCAAGAACGTAAAAGCGGCAAAGAAGAGATGGATTAATAACAACAACAACAACGACTACAAAAATGATGTGGCTGGAGTAGGGAGTTTGATTTAAGAGAGTTTGGGCTTTGGCGAAGAGAAATCGATAACTTGCTTTTATGTAAATTGCCTGAGCTTCTTCAGCTTTGCCATCTTCTCGCCCGATCGACGCTGTATTACCAATCTTACGCCTCCTCATTTCCTTCACAATTCTAACGACGTCTGTTTCTGCAGTTTTGACTGCTGCTGCTGCTGCTGTTTCAAAAAACCACTACATCCAGAGGGCTGCGGAGATGCTCATTTGGCAAAGACGGGGGCCTTACATCTATTTCTTGAAAAGGACAGAAAGGAGGAAAAAAATAACTTGCTCCAACATGCATAACACATTTTATAAGCACTTACTTAACCTAATACGGAACAAAGCTATGTGAAAATCGGACCCAGTACAGTTGTACACATTTACTAAGCTTGTAAAATCTAGCATAACTTAAAACCTGGGCCAGTGCATATTAACCCCGAATCCCCCAACCGTGGGGGTGATTGGCGACCTCTCAGCGGTATATCAACCGATATGGGTTATTTAATGCCGAAATTTAAATATTTTGAATACAAATTTATAGGTTGAACTAAATATATTTTGAACACAATTTCATGCCTTCAACTGCAGATAAAATATATTGTTGGTATTTTAGCTATAAAATGTATTGTTGGTATTTTTGCTATAAAATATATTGTTGGTATTTTTGCTATAAATATGTATTAATCATCATTATTTTTATAAAAATGCATTGCGTGTAATTTACTATAAAAAATGTGTTTATATACTTTCAAAGTGTTTTGTTTGAGGAATCATTATGTGCCCATAGCTTGGCCCCTAACATATGACACCAGCCCGGTTTGGACCTGTGAACAACAGCATTTAAGAAGTGGTTTCCCGCTCCTCAAAACTTCCAGTCTCTCGATCAGAGGTCTTGCTGCCGGTTGTAGTTTATCATCATACCCAGGACGCGGCAGTGCTTTGTGATATTGGCTATATTATCAACATTTGCATTGTTTTTCTATCTACATTTATGTACGTTAAAAATTAAAATAATCACAAATGTCTGTTAAAGGATGAAAAATTTTCGCAGATTTTAACGACAATCTGGGGTGTTTTTGTTTTGTTTTTGTTTTTTTCGTCCAAATCCTTGAATTTGTTTTACTCATTCTAAGTCCCGTAAAAACACATAATATTAACTATTCTTTATCCATAATGTTTTAAAATTATTCATCTTTTTAATAAAATTTCAAGTTGATGTTGACCGCAAACATTGTTGATTTATTTAAGATGGACTCATCTATTATGACATGTTTTTAATTTGTATTTAGATGCATTGTAATTATTTACAATTTTTCTAGTTGAATTATTACCCTATATTGCATATGGCCTATTATTTTACATAATTAGGTTACAATAACTACCTTATAAAATTGACATCTAGTAGAGTGGGGAAACCCGTATCATAGATTAGGGAGCCGTATCAGAGACATGAGCCCCTTGCACCGGCCCCGTCTGAAGCACATATATTTAAGGTGGATGGAAAAGCAAAAAAAAAAAGCACCTTTTATCATAGTGTGAAAAAAGCGCTTTATTTAAAGTTCGTATTTCTCTATATCTAAGGCTTTTTTTTTTACCCTTAACAATAACTTTTGAAGGTGTGCTCTGCAGCCTGTAAACCGAAGATCTATTCAGGACGTAGATGATCAGAGTTCTCCACAACTTCACATCCTTTGTAGCTCTTAAAAATGTTTCTAACCTTACTATCCATCCCAGTCTTTGTTCTGCCATCCATTTACACAGGATCTATTAGGTAGGTTATATTACTCCCTGACTCTCCAGACTTCATTATGTCCTGTCAGTGTTATATTCTCCAAGCCCTCTTTCCTCATTATGTGTCCAGAATTTTTAAATGTCTCTTTCTGTTTGTAAGTATAAGCTTCATTTTTGTCTCCATTTCTACCTTAAAACTTCATCGTTTCCCATATGTTCCGTAATTTTTTACGTACCTATAAAATGTTCACGGTTTTACTATTTGAATTTTCGGAGGAATCCTAATTCCTAATTTAATTTTCATCGGCATAATTTACTGTACTTTTTTGTTTTATTTTCTTACAGAAAAAATACATTAAATATTATTTGTTTGGCTGCCTTTTAGGAAGTTTGTTTTTAGAAAACAAACTTGATATACAATGTAGTTGTTTGCGCCTTCTCTTGTCTACCATATTGGCAATCGATACAATGAAAATTTCTAACTCTTAAGGTGATTTTGACGATTAGTTTAGCAGCGTGTCAATTTTTAGTTACATCTTTCTGTTTGAAAACCGGTTATTAATTAACACGGTTCACATGAAACTAGAAATCGCCATGAAAATGTCTTCTTATTGGGATTTTCTGATCAATTTTAATTCTTAAGTTAATGATTGAATAAAGCTCATGGCGAATACTACGACTATAAAAATAACAGTGGACATTCCCTTATTAATTGGTAAATAAATGAGCTTAACAACTTTAACAAAAATATTAAAATAACAACCAAAAATATGAATGCATTGATGTGGCGTAATGATTATCAAGCTTATCTCGCTAGAACAATTACGACTGACAATTCGATCCTCGCTGTCTGCCCCCCCCCATACTTTTGGCTTTGTGTTACATCTAAACTACGCTTAGGAAATCACCATAAATATGAAAGCAGGTCATTAAAGATGTAAGAGGGTAGACAAGAAAATATTTGAAATTGACAGGATTTTCCATTTCACGTTGAAAAACCGGTTCCTGTACGATCACCAAAGTTTAGCAACGTTGAGCCTGGTCAGTAACTGGATGGGTGACCGCTTGGGAATACCATTTGCTGTAAGCTTGGATCTACGGCTGGTGTAATGGACAATGGCTTGAAATTTTTAATCGGAGTGCCCAGTTCCAATTCCCGTTGGGTTCATTACATTCACTTACACGCAAACACTCTTTGGAAAGATATGACTCCACTTCTTCTCCCCAGCTATGGATTAATTATTAACACTTGTATCCCTACAGCCATTATTATCTAAAAATAAAATTAAAAAAAAATAAAATAAAATTGTGACAATCTAAAAAATATTATCTGGCTTTAAATAATTTGCAAAGGTTTGATAAGCCGTAGAAAAAGACCATCGATTAACAACGGTTCCACTGAAGCAGACGTTAAACGCCATCGCCTCCGCTATCTTTCTTTCTTTCTTTTCCTGTTTCACGCACCGGCCAGATCAGACATTAAGACAGGTTGGTTTTGGAACCATGGTATTTCACTCAGTTTTAAATTTAAAGTTTTAGAGTTTAAATAATGACACAGAACAGGTTGTTGTTTTTTTTTTGAATTCGTTACCGTTTTTTGAGGAAATTAGTTTAAAGATTAAGTTTAACTTCAAAATCATAACATTAGAATTTCGTTCTGATGATCAGTGAAAGTTTCATAGAACAGCCTTATAAAATTTATAATTTATTGAAGCTTTATAAATTGTATATGGACAAGATGCATGGCACAAGTATATTATTATTAAATCATTGTGCCATCAAATAAGACCTTCATTTACTTTAAAGAGAATTGACCAATTTACCTGTTATGATGTAATATATTATACAGTGTTGTAGTTGTTTTAGTGTGATGTTTAAAATTGAAAATATAAAACATTTCGTCTTATAATTTGTGCCCAGCAATATTATGGTGTTATACACACTTTTATCTATTTTGTTTTACTTATGATCAAACAAATTATCTAACAAATGTTCTATCAAATCTTATTTATTGAGTAGCCTTTTTTGTAATCTTTTACAATTTTTACACAGTTTAAATAGAGTAAAAAATAGCATATTTTGCTTATAGTGATTCATAATTAGAATTCTTGTTTGAAAATATTTTCCGTTCAATAGATCTAATACAAAATATATTATTTTTGTTTTTATTTATTCTTAAAATATTTAAATTCTGAAGTCAGTTTATAAGCAAAAACCTGCGAAAATTACGCGTTTCTGTGCATTTTTCAAACGTATCTGTCTATATTTCTGAGATGAGGTGTTATGTACAATATTTACATTATTCGAACTATTGTCCTCATCTTTGTTGCCATATTTATTACAACGTTCAGGGTTCAGTTCAACATTCCTACCACCTGATAAAGGCCGGAGCGTACAACGACCGAATCGTTGTGATAAATATGGCAACAAAGATGAGGACAATAGTCCGAATAATTTTTCAAACGATTTTTAAAAATAAATGCTGTAAAATTGGTGAAAGCTATGAATTCCAACTTGGGTGTAAGTAGTTATCACGTCAAAATCCAGCTTTAACACCGCGTGAAAAATCAACCCGCATTTATCAGACACTCGATACTCTCAGTCTATAATTGTAGCGATATAGCCACTGATGTTTTTCTGGCGGCATCTTATCTAATAGTATGAAAAAATAAAGATGAAATGAATAGGTGTTTACGCTGTCAGATTAGTTGTAATTAGCTGTCATTTTGAATTTGCAATATACCTAATGCCAAGAAAGATTTACACACATGTGCAGGAACGTTAAGAACGTAACCTGAAGGCCAAGGGGTTGACGGCTAGAAATAATTTGAGAACCACTGCATTAAAGCGATTTGCATTCAACAAAAACATGAAAAAAATCTTTGCGATAAGACCAAAAAATTCTTAAACACATTGTTCTTCATTTATGACCTTACGGGAGGTGGCTGATTATGCACAACATCCTATCCTTCGTAGCTCGAATCTATGTTCTGCTATACATTTGCACAAACTGTTTTTCTCTGCACCCCACTGTCTCCAAGGTATCCTGTGATCGCTATTTTCATTTTGTAGTTCATAATTTAAAAAATCCGAACGTTTGTTTGCATCTTGCTGGCGTCATCTGGACAGGTCGCATCAAACGGTAGTCAGATCTGAACAGGACACGCCATACACCAGCCAGATCTGGACAGTTCGCACCATATGCCAGCCAAATCTGGACAGGTCGCACCACACGTTAGCCAGATCAAGACAGCAGACATCTGTATTGGAAGGGGGCGCAGTGTAGCTATATAGCCACGGATGTTTGTCTAGTTTGATTTAGTTTGGTTTGGTTTGTTTTACGGCATATCAACCTAATTGGGTTATTTAATGTCGACAAGATTTTTAACGTTGCTAGTATATATATTTTTTCAAAAATGTATTGCTGGTAATTTTTTTTTTTTTCAAAAATGTATTGCTGGTAATTTTTTTTACAAAAAAGTATTGTTGGTAATAATGTATTACTAGTAATAATTTTATTACAAAAATATATTACTGGTATTGAAACATTTTTAGATGTTTTGACCCCAGTTTGGAGGTTAACTATTTACCCATAGATTGGACCCTAATAGGTGCTACCACCCGGGTCAGGGTGGACTTGGGAACACCAGCAATTAAGAGGTGTTTCCACGCTTCTCAAAACCTTCTGATCAGAGGCTTGCTTTCGGATGCAGTTTATCGTCTTAACCATGACGTGTTTGTCTAGAGATAGATTAGTTCTCTTGAATTTGCAGTATATATAACACCAAGAAAAAAGTGTCTTCATATGGTTTTAGGATGGGTTTAAGAAGTGGACGGCAGTTTAGAAAAGTTTGGGAAACGATGGTGGAGACTGAGACAAACATATTCAGCCGGTATGTAAAGTACGTTTGTACATACACGTTGTCATAAACACATTTCTTTCAACGTCTATTTTTTCATCACTTGTTGTCTTTCTTAAAACGCACAACCGCTATAAACCAATCGATCCTAGCCCTTAGAAATGACAGAATTATGTTGACATTTTAAGCATAAACTTTTAATAAAAGTTTTATCTTGTATTTAAATGTTTTTTTCTTTATTTTTTTTTACTTTTTAGAAATGTATATTGTACAGAATTCGTTATCACTAGTTCAGCCAGAAATAAAAGATGTGAGACAATTTTATTTTAGGCGTAATTGTATAAAAATAATTTTATTAATAAAGTAGACGTTTGTCTGTTTTGTTTTGTTTTTTTCTTAAATATCGACACTTCTGTTTATTGATAAGCGAGAAATACTGCTTTCGTTTTTAGGTCTCTTGTGTAGAAATTATCGACTGAAATTTTTGATAGAATGCGTAAAGAATTTTTTGTTTTCATTTTAAATCTGGATTTATTGTTTTCGAGATTTTATCAGTAAGTTCGGTTTGTAAAACTTATGATATAATAAAATCTCTGATTTGACAGACTGTTTCGGTATTTAAATCTCTGTACAGTTTTTTTCCCCTGGTTTCGTGTGCAGACATTAATTCCCGCTGAATTTTTAATTACTAATAGAGCTTAATTAAAATATTAAGTTCACGAAAAAAAAAAAAGGAGCCATTTTTTTTCTACTAACTTCCGGGTTAATGTCATCACATTTTGACGTTGCGTCTTCCATCCTTCTTCAGATAACCGTCAAGGAATTTAAAACTTAATCCCTTTTTTTGGACTGTCCAGATCTAGAGATATCTAGTATTGGTTTTATTTGCTACATCTTAGTTACCCCTTCGCCCGGTCTCGTCTTATTAGGTGAAAAATTCACTGACCAACCTACCGTAATTTTTATCTATATTTACAGCACCCCACATTAAGCCTGTCACTATGGTGAATAGGCAGTTAACATTAATGGCAACAACAGGAGAGAGTATAATACAGGCTGCGGCAAAAGTAACGCCCTTGTTTTTCAAGTTAAGGTGGATAGGACGACGTGGAAAAATTGAATGACCATCACGATCACCAGACCAAACAACACCGGACCTAACAATTCCGGAACTAGCACCACTAGATATTTTCTTGTGGGGTCTACTGAAAGGTCTTGTTTATAGGCTCAAATCGAAAACAATTCTTGAATTAAAAACAAGCAGTTTCTGATATATTTTCTGGAATGTATAGTCATCCACAAAAGTCATAAATTACAGTAATTTAAGAAAGATTATAAGTATTGTCATATCAAAAAACATGATTTGTTATGATTAATAAATCATTTAACAACTTCAAAATGCACCCTTTCATCTCTCTCTATAAAAGGCAGGATATGTGTGTGTGTGTGTGTGTGTGTGTGTGTGTGTGTGTGTGTGTGTGTGTGTGTGTGTGTGTGTAACGAATGCACGGCTGCAATTTTCGACGGATTTGCACCAAAATTTACATGCACATGCTTCAAGTTAGCGGAAACGCCAAGACCGACTTTACATTTCCCAACTCCCATCGATTTTTTCATCCTTCTACGGCAGTTTTCATGTGGTTTGCGACCATTTTGTACTGGCCAGAGTGAGAGCCTATAGCTGGCTGCCACAAATAGGCAGGAAGATTCTATTGGCCAGCGTGAGAGCCAACAGCTGACTGACACGAATGTTAACTAGCATGCTAGCATGCAAAAGAAAAAGATAGATACATTCGTCACAAGTGGGAAAAATTTAAATCTGCATGGCACTTTATTCCAATTGGCTCATTCGCTTGCTTAAATTCAACGTTGATTCTGATTCCGTAGAACTGGGTTGGGTGTGAAAAAGTATTTGTTGTTAACATTCTTTTTTCATTCGGTTTTTCCAGTTACGAGTCCTTTTTTTTAAAGCTGATCGTTTTGTGTTCATTTTGTTTAGTTCTTTTTTCGTAACAGATTTAATGTTTAGTAGAGAGCTTAGAAAAAATTCGCAGTGTGAGATAGACAAAAAGTAAGGCATGTAGCAACATCAGCACGGCAAAGGCAAGTAAGGGCAAAAATATTTTAAGTCAAGTGACAGCGATTGCTGTATGAGTCGTACGATTTTTGAATCAAGCACGGGCAACGCCGGGCCATGCCGCTAGTATTAATTAGATTGATAAACCCTA